TGACAACAGGCATGGTAGGAAAGAGCTCCTTTAGTCTGGATTCCATAATGATGCCTTGTTGAATGTCCCACCTAGCTCCTTCCATAAAAAGACCATGAACATAGGCACCTTCACGTGGTGCTGATCTGGAATGGAGGATAAACACAAAAGAGTGTTGCATGTATCATGCTTGATGCTATGCTACATGTTTACTGCATACACACAGATCATATAAAGAATGTATAACATATATAAGGAAGTTCTGGGAGGAACTGTTCACCTTCTTTCCCCTTACACAACACAGACTGCATAGAAAATAACATGTCAAACAATTTTTCTATTGCTGTGTATGTGTACATTGCCATGGTAATGTTCTTACTGAACAACTGCCTAGTAACAGTAGAGGTATACACCTAGAGACACAACATTCCTGAAATGGATTTATGAAGTATGCTGCTGAGATGAGCTCAGGTGCCATGACAAACATACCAAGTTTCATAAATACTGGGGCAGGAATTTGAAGGTTGATAGCGGGAGATGCGTACGCACACCCACCCACACATGCCTGTGCACACATGCATGCACATAAACACACATACAGAGAAAGGAGTTCACATAAGCCTACTCTAGGAAAGTAGGCTAAAAGTGAGTCAGTTATATGAAATTTGAGGTTCTTGACAGTGACCGTGTGAAGGTAATGCTGCACTATATTGTAGATAGGTACCAATGTTTTGGAAGAATCTACAGCTTCCATCTTCAGTGTACAAGAAACAGTCGATTCCTTTGAAATATTAGTGCCCATTTGCTGGATGACATGGTGTCACATCCAAGGAGATGTAATACTGATGAGTGAATAAGTTTTGTAGTAAGTCTGGAGATACCCGCATTAAAACTCAGACCAAGCTACCTTTTTGAATTTGCACTTGTTTATATGCTATTCAAGAATCATCTCTGATTCAGCAGTAAGTTTCCCTCTCTTAAATTAGAGGATGTAAACAGAAGCAAGAGACACAAGAGTGATGTACATACGAAGGGGGACCCAAAAATAACTGGAACCGACCTGTTGCACACGCATGCTTTGTAGTTACGAGTTGTGCTGCTAGGTGGTGTTAGCTGGCGTCAGTCTGAGTTAAGTGGTTTGTCTGTGGTGCTTTGTTGTGTGCGTTCCTGTTTCAACCCTTTGGCAATTAGTGAGATGGCCGACCAGAAGGAACAAAGAGTGTGCGTGAAATTTTGCTTTCTGTTAGGGAAAACTGCAGCCGAGACTGTTGGGATGCTTCGGCAAGCCTTTAATGATGATGCTTTGGGGAAATCACAGGTCTACGAGTGGTTTTCCCGTTTCAAATCTGGCAACATGTCAACAGAAGACATGCCACGCCCCGGGCGTCCTTCGACAGGAAGAAATGACGAAAACATTGCCAAAATCAAACGTGCAATTGATGAAGATCGTCGAAAGACCATTGACCAACTTTCTGAGGAAACGAACATCTCATGGAGCACGGTCCAGCGAATTTTAACCGAAGGTTTGCACATGAGACGGGTGTCTGCAAAATTTGTTCCTCGCTTGCTCGGAGATGACCAAAGAGAAAACCGCGTGAATGTTTGCCGCGACTTGAAGAGTGAAGTGCAGAACGATCCAGAATTTCTTAAAAGAATTGTGACTGGCGATGAGTCTTGGTGCTATGGGTACGATCCAGAATCAAAGCAATCATCAAGCCAGTGGAACTTCACCACGACCGAAGAAAGCGCGTCAAGTGCGATCCAATGTGAAAACAATGTTGATTTGTATTTTTTTATTGTGAATGGCATTGTCCACAAAGAGTTCGTTCCGCCAAGACAAACAGTGTACCAACATTTTTACCTGGATGTGTTACGAAGATTACGAGAGAGTGTGCGACGAAAACGGTCTGAAATGTGGAGAAATGGGAACTGGTTGCTTCACCATGACAATGCTCCAGCCCACACAGCTTTGACGGTCCGACAGTTTTTGACAAGCAACAACATGGTGATTGTGCCTCATCCACCTTACTCACCCGACCTGGCTCCGTCGGACTTTTTTTTGTTTCCACGGATGAAGAGAAGTCTGAAAGGAAAGCGATTCCGTGATGTGGATGAAGTCAAAGAAAACACGCTAAAGGCTTTGAACAGTATCCAGCCTCAAGAATTCCAGCACTGTTTTGAGCAGTGGCAAAAGCGTTGGGACAAGTGCATTAATGCACATGGACAATACTTTGAAGGGGACTAATATACAGTTCAATAAAAATGCAAAAATAAAAAATAACAAAAATAAATTCCGGTTATTTTTGGGTCCCCCCTCGTATATGGTCACACAGGCCCAGTTACTTTCTCGAAAATCTATAAAACTGAGAACTCAAGTGAAAGCATACCAGCAAAGAAAATAAGGAATATGGAAGAACACAAATATACTTAATAATCAAACAAAATTAGAAGGTATTAGGCAAAATAGAAGAGTATGCCTGCAAATGAATACATAATGTAAGAACAAGAAATAGTATTCATGTATTTTAAGCATTGAATTGAATTGAATTTATTTACATTCTATAAATCCTAAGTAGGTTAGTACCTTTGGATACAGAACAAGTCAAAAGGTTACATACATAAGTACAGGCAATTTTAGCTTAAAAATTAATATAACTTAATTTTACATCATTCTCTATTTACATTGAAGTATTCATCTAAAGAGTAGAAGGAATGAGCATGTAGATAATTCTTTAACTCTGATTTAAACTTTTTAGTATCATTGCCCAAGTTTTTAATACTTTGTGGCAGATTGTTGAACACTTTTATGCCAGTAAAGTAGACTCCTTTTTGATATACTGATAAAGTTGATGAGGGTAGGTGGAAGTTATATTTTTGTCTAGTATTCATGTTATAGACATCAGAATTTAATTTGAATTTATCTTTGTTGTAAACAACAAATAAGAGAAGCGATAATATGTATTGCGATTGAAGAGGTAGAATTTTTAATTTCTTAAATAATTCTCTACATGAATCTCTACTTCTACATCCTGTAATGATTCTTATTATATTCTTTTGTATTTTAAAAATTATTACACTATGTGAAGAGTTCCCCCAAAATATTAATCCATAGTTCATAATAGAATGAAAGTAGGCATGGTAAACCATCTTCAATGTTTCCTGTGACATAAAAGGCTTAATTGATCTCATCGCATAGCAAGCTGCATTTAATTTAGGTATAATTTGTTCAATATGTATTTTCCAAGACAGTGTACTGTCTACATGTATTCCAAGGAATTTTGTATCAAGTACTTTACAGATTAATTTGTTGGCATAACTGATGTCCAGATCAATTTGGTGGTTGTTTTTAGTTGTGAATGATATGTAATGGGTTTTATCAAAATTTAATGAGAGTAAATTGGCTTCGAACCATCTGTTTAAGGCTTCAAATACAATATTTATGTCATTTTTAAAGTTGTCAAATTTAGAGTTCTTAAATATTATACTAGTGTCATCTGCATATAGAATTGGTTTAGATTTATTGTTGATGGTTTTAGATAGATCATTTATGTAGAGAAGAAAAAGTAAGGGACCTAAAATTGATCCTTGTGGAACACCGTGCTTTATAATTCCCCAGTTTGAAAATGCATTATGACTGGAGTTTTTATTATTTATTTCAACTCTTTGATACCTGTTTTTGAGGTATGATTTGATCCATTCATTAGCTTTGCCAGTTATTCCATAGAAATTTAATTTCGATAGTAAGATATCATGATTAACACAATCGAAAGCTTTTGCTAGATCACAGAAAATCCCTCCCACAATTAATCTGTCATTGAGAGCACTTAAAATATCGTTAGTTAGTTCATAGGTTGCTTTTTCTGTTGTTAGGTCTTTCCTAAATCCAAATTGCTCTTTGACTAATATGTTGTTAGAATTTAAGTGTTCAAGTAGTCTATTATACATAACTTTTTCAAAAACAAAAGACCATCTAGACTTAATAAGCAAACAGGAGTTATACTTAATATTCATTATGGAAGGTCTTTTTATTGCTAGTGGGGTGGGACTAAGTCCCTTGTACTATGGCCACTTCTGGCCTATTGTACCAGCCCCAGATGATAGGTGAGGATGATTGTTGAGCAATTGGTGGAATAAAGATTGGCAGGGGAAACCGAAGTCCTTGGAGAAAACCCGCCCCAGCGCCACTTTGTCCACCACAAATCCCACTTAACCAGACATGGGATCGCACCCGGGCCACTGTGGTGGGAAGCCAGATTATGTAAGGTTACAACATAGTGAATTACAGGCTGCACAATCAGCTCGCAAGAATCACATAAGAGTGGGGCCCTGCTAAGTGCAGTCTGATTCTGCTCAAGCCAATGGTGGAACTAGTAACAAGGAACCAACTGAAAAATCATCTGATATAACATGGAAGTCTTACTAGCATAACATAAAACTCAGAATGGACCTTACTTATATTACTGATGAGTATAGTTAAGAAGATTAAATTAATTTTCCACAACAGTTCACCCTACTCAGCAACATGTAAATTTCTGGGTACAATATACATGCATACTGACTCCCACCCGCACCTAGCTGGAGGGAGGGATGCAGTACTAATACCCTGTCGCAAGTTGCAGCGGCAAATTACCTTAGCAGTACTGTAACAAAGGCATGCAACAAGGGCCTACTTGTCTCCCAGCATTCCAACCAGCATTGTCCAAACTTGAATTATAAAAATCAACGCTTCTGAACATGGCAGTCAACAACCAGATGGAAGAGGAGTTTGCAGGCAGTCACATTGGAAGTCAAAGGCAGAGACAATGAAGACAGAGCAGCTCCAGATCATTTTGCCATCCCAGGCAGACTGGATAGATGGGACCATGCGAGTGCGATGTCTTAAGAACCAGGAGAAAAGGAAGATGTCAGAGGTCACAGAGGATAAGAATGAGATGCGAGTTAGACGAGCCAACCAGCAGCTCTATATGGTTAAAAACAACATGAAACTGCGCTGGTCAGGACACTTAATTCAATGAACTTATGAGAAGTCTTCTTTATGCTTCTTGGTTACATCACACTGGAGGCACATTTTGTCCAGAGGCAGCTCATTCTTGCAGGCTGTGGACTGCATAATAGCAGTCAGGAAGGACTGTGGGTTAAAGAAACCTGACAACCAAACAGATAATGGTAGCTGAAAGGAAACACAAAAGTCCAGATATTTGGGATTCATACTTAACAAACGAAAATTATATTAATGAGGAAAGTAAGAGCTGACTGGATATGGGAAATGCTTGCAACCATTCAGTTTAGAATCTTCTCTCTTCACATCCCTTATCTAAAAAACTTAAAAATCAGAACATATGAAACCTATAATTTAAATGTTGTTTTGTATATATCTGAAACTTTGCCTCACAACCTAAGTGAAGACCATAGGTTGAAGGTATCTGAGAAAGTGTTGAAAAAAATATTTGGACTTCTTACATATTTTTGGTTACACAGTCTTCTAGTACAAAGCACCAAAGCATGCAGTGGTATTCAGGACGCAGTGAATTTGTGTTTAAAATTGGTGATATAAATTTTCAACAGGTCTACTATTTAAATCAGAATCTTATTCCTCACGATGGTCATCAATTATTATTGTGAATCACACACTGTATATTCAGAACATGAACAAGAGAATAACAAATTCCATATAAAATTCTAACTACTCCTGCAACCTTGTGTTTTCAGAGTCACTCCCTGTTAACTCCAGTACATGGACAATGGTGTCTTAATTGCACAATGTGACATTTGAGGGTCTCATGATGTTGACTATGAAGAATACTGTCTTTTGGATTGGGACAATGTACTGTCTGGAAGATCAATACCAAAGCGTCGGAGGAACTTTCAACCCTTCCTTCCTGAAGATGGAGAACAGCTTCCTCTGAACCAGGCTGGATGGTTTTGCATGCAGAAGACATAACCTTCATTCCCTAAAGTTGTGTAATCATGTATCAGTAATTTATAATTTTAATTATCTGTTGCAGATCATTAGTGTATGAACACGGCCATAAAATAAGTGATATGTAACCTGTCTTATGTCACACTATTAGAATTATGAAATAGCAAAATTCTGATTAATAACTAACCACAAAATCTGAAGACCAGGTCTCCAGTTCTCTTAGTCTTAGGAGGTCAGCAAACCAGGCACTGAGACCTTGGAGAGATGGGTATGCTCGTTGGGTCCATATGCGAGGTACTTGGTCAAGGAAGAGAGCATTCTGGAGTTCCTCCATGTCACCAGTAATCGTCAGTTACCCTGGATGGAGATTCAATATTACAAAGGCTTTAGTTTCTACAAAGTATTCAGTCTGTCTTCATTTTGCACCTGTATAACAGAGAACTCTTCTAAGACTGTCTTGATAAACCACCAGACATCCATGAAATTAAAAAATGCTGTGAACATTGTGGAGAACAAAGTGAGGCAGTTACTTTAAAACTGTATATTTTATTCCACAGAAGTATGGCTTGTTGTCACCTATGGAAAACTTTATGGAATATGAGAATTGGACATGGAAAGTGTTATTACTTCAAAATTATCACAGTGAATACAGAATGAATTTGTATGTAGGTAAATATTGTAAGAGAGAAACGATGTGCTCATTTATAAATATTCTGGCCTGTGAACAGTAATTCACTGTGATATTTAAGGTTCTCATGGTATTGACCAAGAAAACTACTGTCTTCTGGGTTTTGATGTCACACAGTTTGATGATTTATCCTAGAGAAGGAGGTAGCATTTTATTCCAAATCATTGGCACTTATCTATCAAAATGCAATCATAACATCAAAGAAGACAGCAGCCTTAATAAATCTATGAATCTGACCACAAGTTCATGGCACTGCCTTTTATTGGCGTATCGTATACTTTCTGTAAAAGTAAGTAAAAGTATCTCTGTAACAGGCTGTGGAGGCCCATAGGGTTGTGAGATGTTGAGGTTCCCACATTTTCTAGACAATCGGCTCATAGATGGCGGCAAGGTTCTCAGTCTTACGTGCCAGCCGCCCTTTACCTCCAAGAATATTCCTGGTACTCATTTCTGTTAGAGGCTGAGTCAACCCCAGGGCTATAGTGCGGCTGGAAGGATTGGATCAACTGAAAAAATCCAGTGACCTCATTGGGACTTGAACCTGCAACCTTCCGGCTTGTAGCATAGTGCCTCAACCAACTATGCTATGTATACATGCAAAATATACCACATTATATTAGATTTCTCCCACATTAGTAACAGCAGGAGGTAATAAGCCACTTTACCTTACCCTTCAGTATTGGTAAATATTTCTATAGAATTTCTGGTATCTGTTTAGTGCAAGCTTCAGAAAAGTTACACCTGTAGTTAAAGGCAAAATTGAGTTGGGATTTCTCTAAAACTAGCTCAAAGTGTTTATATGCAGTGATATATTACACATAACCTACTCTGAGTCCAAAATCCAGTTCCTTCAGTGAGCGCTTCATCTCTCCTGTCAAGTAGTTCATACGCTCACACTCTTGGAAAGCAACAATGAGATAAGGTGTTCGCTCCTCTACCTTGTTCATTATCTCCAACATGTTGAAATCAACAGGTAGCTTCTCTAATATTTCATCAACAATTTGTTTTACCTAGTATGGAAAGAAAATTATGTGAAACACATGTTAAGCTCTTCTGTAGGAATGTATTCCATATTATATTTATATATATATATATATATTGCTGTGCAAAAGCTATGCTGGGATGTATACCATTGTATTAACGTGAGTCTGAAACATACTATAACTATACCTTCATACCTTCTCTTCTGGAGTGACAGTGGCTCCACCTGAAGCTCCAGCATCACGTGGCTGCATCTCGAACACTGTCCGAAACAGGTTCTCAGAGGTGGTGGTGAGGAAACCAATTTCTGCATTTGGATGCAATCCATACAAATATGGTGATTCTGGAGGCATCATCTCATCTGGGAAATGCATGACATCTTCATAAATCATGTCCCTACGAGTTAATCACTAACACTGTTGCATTAATCTTTTCAGTACTTGACTTATGTTTGAGAGACATTTTATTGGCACCCAGTGTAAAGTACATAAATCTCTTCCGGAAACAGAGTATTATGAAAATGTAACCAATTATGTCTTAATTTTTACAACCATCTACAAGAATTATGGATGAAAAAGATTAATATTTTATTCTACAAAGTGTATTATTTTAAACTGCTACCAATGTACTATTATTAAATATGAACAATTACAAGGAGGAACAGAAGCAAAATCTAAGCAACTGGTATGAAATTGTTGAGGGGGGGGGGTGGGAGAGCATGACAAGTTGGAGAAGATAAAATGGTTTCTCAATGGAAAAAAGAGAACAGAACAAGGATGCTGAGAAAGGCATTAGAAATAGATTTTAAGGAAAGGGACCTACTGGATGACCCAAAATAAGCTAGATACTGGAAGCTGTCAAGATGGCAAGGAACAAAAATGGCCATGGGAAGAAAGAAGTCTATCAACTTGCATACAACAAAGGCAATGAAGAAGACAAGTGTACCAGGGAAACAGATTTTCATGCTGATGTACTGTGCAACATTTTATTTCTTACAAATATTTTTTTAACTAACTTAGTATACATACCTATGTATGCATGGTATCCTATGTAATCAGTGTTTGGAGGTGCTGGGAAACCAGGAGCCAACGTCAGTTCCCCATCAACCTGCGAGTGTATCAAATGATGTAGCATAATTTTTCTCTCAAAGAGTCTGTTTTACTTTCTGAAGTGTGAAAGCCTCATGTACTTAATAGAGATTACACACAAGTGTGTAACTTATTTGAAGTGAATGGAAGGGCAGGTCAAGATTTTTTTAAGAAACAAAATTGGAAAAGTATACTTTAATGTAAGGTAAAGCTATCCTTGTAACAGGCCGTGAAGGCTCACATTGGTGTGAGACGTTGAGGCTCCCACATTTTCTAGACAATTGGCTCACAGATGGCAGTGAGGTTCTCAGCCTTAGGAGCTGCCCGCCCTTTACCACCAGGAAGATATCTGGTATTCATTTCTGTTAGAGGTTGAGTCAACCCCACGCCCACAGTGTGACTGGAAGGATCATGTCAAATAAAAAGAATCTAAGGACCTCATTGGGAATCGAACCAGTGACCTTCCGGCTTGTAGCATAGTGCCTTAACCAACTATGTTACCGCATTTATCACAACAAAAAAAGTTTCAAATAGAATTTGTAGATAGTAATGATGCCATATTTTATATCACTTTATGATTCAACCACATCTGAGAAAATCAAAGTAATAATTGAGATTTAGACAGAGGCCAAACTAAACTGACACAGGACAAAATTAAACTTGTCTGACAAATCGTTGTGTACGCCAATTACCAGACCCATTGAACAGTTTCAGAGATGAAGCAAGCAGACAAATGGACATACCGTATTTACGCATGTATAGGCCGCGTGCGTGTATAGGCCACAGCACAATTTTCAGACAGAAATTATAGAAAAAATAATTTTCTTGGAATATTATTTCAGGAGTAGAACACCCTGTATTACTAATTATGAATATAATTTTTTTAAATGAAGTGTGATTTCGAATATAAGCTGCACCCCAGTTTTCCTCTTGAATTTTTGGCAAAAAATGTGCGGCCTATACATGCGTAAATACGGTACATATTTTCCCTATGATATGTCCATTTCTTTATTCACTGTGAAAGAACACAAAAATTAGATCTGACCTCTGGGGACTAGGTGATTAATCCAATTTTGAGATTTTAAGTTCTCGTGGCAGTGGATGTTAAGATTGTGGTCTTCTGGGATGTAATACTCTTTAGTTCACTAGACAGGTACTAATGCTTTTGAGAACTGATCTGATAAATTTTCCATCACATCCCAAACACTGTTATCTTTATCTAATTTTGATACTGTGAATGTGCATTACTGAATTATATGAAATGTAAGAACAGGCCCTGAATGCTTACATTATGCCATATGTTCCCAAGGGCTTGGAGAGTTTTAGCTACAGCATAAGAACATTTGCAGTAATCTGGTCCTTTTATTGTAGCTACATGTAATAGGCTCCACACAACTGTTTATGTACAAAGTTCATTCTTTGAACTATGGATAATGATTTAGTTTCAAGTTACCAGTTCGGGTTGCACGAGTTCCTCCAAATATGAGATGCAGAGCCGTCGGTTCCAGTCATCAGTAATGTGGCCACCATACATAATTTCACCAAACAAATACCTCAGGTCTTCCCATGGAACCTTGGAATTTGCCTCCAGATAGTTGTACAGAACATTGACACTGATGTTCAGGTCACCTGTGCATGTTTGGGAGATGACATATTAACATCTAACACAACACTATTTTTCCCTTGGACTTCTGCTTGAAACGGTTATGGAATAAGATTTTCAAGAAGTTTTGTTCACCATATATCACAGCAACTTTAATACATGATGATGCTTAAACTTTCACTAAATTCCATGATGTTCATGTATGACATATTGGCTCTTATGATGTAACTGGGAAGAGAAAAAAAAGAAAACTGGATAGTAGAGAAAAAGGGAGCCAGTAATTCTTACCCATCCAGAGGCTCAAACATTCTGATCTATGACAGCATCAGAACATAGTGTGAATAAAATACAGCCAGGGACAGGTAAACCCCACAATTTAATAGTATTGAGTATGGTTTTCCTTCTTTTATTGTTCAACTTCAATGATCTCAACTCAATCGTCTCTGTGTTCAATTTCCTTCATTTAAGGTTTCCCTCAGTTTGATATTCAAATCCACTGCTCTCCATATAAACATTAAATGGAAGTCCCACTCTGTAAGAGGCTACCTCAATATCAAAGAATGACATTAATGAAAAATGAAATTGATGATGAAATATCCTGACAGACCTATTTTCATTTTCTTACACACTCACACTATCTTTTAATACAACATAATTTGGAAGTCAGTCAGTCAGCAAAGTTACCAGTTATGGGCTGGATGACAGGTTCAATTCTTGGCAAGGCTCCACTTGGCTTCCTATCCAAGGGATGCTGAGGATAAAATGCCTGAAGAATGAAGCTGACCACTTTGTTCAATTTTGTTAGATGTATAAAGCTCTATCTGAATTCCTGCTTCCTACATGTCTCCACAGTATGGTGGTTCAGCATATACCTTCTTCAACAGAGAACAATGATGACACTAACCTACATTAAATGGGTATATCTTATTCCATCCTTGAGGTCCAAACTTTCTGCGCTCTGCCACAACTGCATGGAAATAACAGAGAGAGAACAGGATAGCTTTGAATTCTGCCTCCTTGCTGCACATTTCAAGGGCTTCTTGGTTGAAGTTATCCAGAGCTTTATGAAGGTTTGCCTGCATACCTGTTGGTGGCTCATTTGTTATCTTAATTGAAGATTCTAAGATTCCCTGCAAATAAGATGTACATCTCTTTGGGAATGAATTAAAAATGATAGTCAAATGACAGAAACATGATAGTAAAAGCATTTTTCTTATAAAACACTGTGTTCTCCTCATTATCAGTATTTTTATTATTAAAATTATAATTTCATGGAATGTGATACAATGTAGTTTAATCGATATGTTCTCAATATCTCACTTGAGTGGCAACAGGCACGCTTCTCAAACACCCCCACTAGGCAGTGCATAACAGAGGTGTGCCTATAACAGAAAGAAAAACCATATACCTGTGGAATTATATGGGTTGCAGGAGTGCCTGTAGGTTCAGCGCTCATAAACACACGATAGTCTGGATGGGAACCCTGACTGTAATGCTCCAACTTCTTCTCCAGTGCTGGCAACCACTTCTTGACCAAATAAATATTCTGTGAATGTGCGAATGCTCTGCATGAAAACAGTCTCATACTGCTGCCACAGATGTATTATAAATATGTCTGACTGTAGGATTTTAAATCACTAAGTACAGATACAGCACAAGAATCCTATTCTGAGATACCTTCCCAAAATTATTTGAGAGAATGAAGAAACTCATGAAACTTCACAATTTATACTCTCTTTCTAGTACTACCAAGGTTATGAACAGACTAGATAAATAATTTTGGCAGTAAAACAAGAAACATATAGAATTTTGGTGGGAACACCTCATGGAAAATGCTCAAAAGGTTAACACAGACTCAGTAACATAATATTATGTGGATATTATGGAAATAGTTTACTCTATCATGGATCATATTTAATTTAGATATTTTTCAGTGGTGGGTTCTTGTTTTAACATTGTAAAATCTTTTGATTCTAAAATAACAGATCTGGCTAGTTATAACTTACACTGGCTATGTAAATGTTATCTGGTACAAATTTAATCTTAATATTATGCAACCCCTTCTCCTTATTTCTGGATCGGTACAGCATTCCCCAATGTTATAGACAGGATGTGTTCTTGAATACTCGATCAAGGAATTCCACAATGCAAAACCCGTTTTTCTATTTATTCCCTGCTATAAGTGGAGACACACTCATATGGAAATTACTTTCTGTCAAGACTTGAATTAAAACACACTTCTTCAAGATTCACATTGAATATAATTCCCATCATGCTCCATTAGGTGTAGCATTTGCATTTCACTTCATGGCCTCTTTCCCCACAGCATACGAGAAATATGCTGCAATTTGGAATAAGATGGGAACAGCGACCATGCTACCA